TAACTGCTGTCTTATTGTCAGCAGTAATATTGCTGCTGCCGCTGCCGCCGCCGCCACTACCATATTTTGCGACGAGAGCCTGGCGGCCTTCTGACAACATCTTCTTCAGCATTGGCACGTGACAGGCTCGCAGATCTCGCAGACATGTGAGACCGGTTGACCGAGCCAACGCCAGACAGTGTAGTTCGTGTAATTGGCGTCCATCCCAGCGGTAATCAAGGACAAAGGTGAAGCCCAGGGATTCATCCGGATCAGTGAAGAGCACTCTATCGACTTCAGCTGTGCCATTCAGAATGTTGTCTACCCAGGCCAGATCGCGAGGGCTAGCCGCCAAAAAGGGCACAATGACATCCGAATAGATCTGCGGGGTTTCGAGAACCAGCCGGCGTCTGGAGGCCGAGTACTTGGCAAAGTGTTGCGCCTCCGCAGGGTGGATTACAGTCATACTGAGTGAGTTCAGATCCTCTAATCCAGACTTTACTAGGCGCCGATGGTAGATGTCATTATCCATGATCCGATCGGCTTTCCACTCGGGAAAAACAAGATTCTCTTCTGATCCGTTATGCACCTCCTCCTCCTTCCCCTCCTCTTTTGGCTTCCTGTTCTCAGAAGACGGACGCCCCAGATGGGCTTCACAGAGGGCCTGCACCTCGTTAGGGAAAGGACTCTTCTGAAGAACAACAATAGCATCCTGGTTGGGAGAGTCAATAAACTTAGCATGCAGGCAAATGCATTTGCCCCGCGTATCATTGCGTAAAATTTTCACAATTTCCATTTTGGCCGGCTTGTAGGAGCAGGTTTCAGAGCAGTCCTCGGAGGCTTCGATGTGCCTCCTTTTACGCGCGGGACTGGGTTCAGCAGCACAGAGACTGGAGTTTGGAGTTTCACCGGTTTCCATAGTTTCAAGCAAAATGATTTAGGTCGAACTGGACAGCAACAACGTCAGATTCTCGGACACGTGCTTGGGGGACAGTACCTAGGGGGGTTTTCAAATCTTTAAAGCAGATAACACCACGCGGCTCGGGACTGTCTGGTAGCTGCTGCGAAAAATCCGGACACCAAACGTTTAAGCGACCAGAAATGGAGTCGTGCAGCTCGTATAAGTGTACTTCTGCGGGAATGTCTTGACCGGTCAGATGGGATAACAGTGAAAGGTAACGCAGACGCAGGTCTGATGAGGGATGAGAGGGTGGAACGTTGAGCAAGTCTGAGCTGCCTAATTGGGTTAAGTTGAGCTGAGGTGAACTCATATGGCACTAGAGAAGACTGCTATCTCGCAGATACACAATCCCGGGATTGTAATATGGATGAGTGAGGTTGGAACGATCGGCAGGATGAAGATTCTGAAATGTAGAAAAGAAGGGTCAACCAAGAGGAAAAACAGCGCGTATAGCAGACAAATAAACACATTTTGGTTGAAGCTGATTCGGCTCTAGTGAGTTACACAGAGTTGCACACTAACAAGCACAAGAATACGACCCACGACAATTCGGCCGTCGTTTTCGACTATGTCCACTATGTGCTCCACAGCCGGGTGGTGCAAGGACGGTGACCTGCGCG